ACTGTCATTCTATTATTAACTATTTACCAATAATAATAGAAAATAAAATGTATCAGCTATCCGCTGTGAGCATGACAAAAAAAATTATATATAAATAAATCATTCATAGTGAATGAGTATTCTGTAGTTGGTATCACCCGACAGCCATGCTCTTGCTTGTTTTTGGTAAGAATTGAGCGCGCTGCACTTGACACTTGACACATTTCTGCATACTTTCCAATTCATAGTATTCGTCATCCGCTTTGCCGCCGTTTAGATGCGTTTTCGCCATTCGCCTGGCGCATTGATCCTCATCCAAGCGTACAATTGATTTCAGGAATTCCATCATCTCCTCCTCGGTCTCGTGCCACATTGTGGCGCAGACAATCAGTTGCGGTATTTTGTCCTGCTCCTGTATATCGCGGCTGGCATTGATGTCGGCAGCCAATGCCACAATCGGATCTCTGGGCGTTGTTAAATCGCTCTGCAATGGAAATGCTTAGATGTTTAAGTATAGGGCTCCCTGAGAGAAGTTGATTTAACGCATTTGCCGGCTTCCAATTTAGCTGGCTGTCGAAATTATAATCTTGAAAATCAACATCTACGCTTTGGCTTTTAATTAGTTTTGCGTATTTCTGTTATGCTTTTTGGGGCACCGCACGCCAGGCCAAAATTTGTAGCACATTTAATTAAGTTTACAACTACGAAAATTTTTACTACAAATGCATATGTTTACATGTGCGTGAATGTATGTATGTGTCGTGTGTGTCGTGAAAGGGTAGACACACACACACACACACATGCAGACATTCACACAGAACTTTACAGTTTCCCCGTCATTTAACTTAATTACATTGCCTAACAGTTGAAGCGCAAACACGACACAGTCAAAAAGTCCTGCTACATATACATACATACATACATATAAATATTTATATATGTATATAAGCAAGTTGGCAAGGGCCAGAGGTAAAAGTCAAGCAGGGCTGTCGACGCCTACGGCTCGACTAAGTGATTGATGTTCGCGCCTGATTAAAAGAATTCATTAGCACAAAAATGCAAATCACATTTCAATTCGTTAAGCTCAATTAGTTGGGATATTATTATTAACACATATATATATTATTACTAGCTCATCAATTATGCTGCATCTGATTCTATATTAAGAGAGTGTTAGTTCAGGTCTATCAGCAGCTACTTACCCGTATGGCCAGATACTCGTCGCTCCAGTCGAGTATGCGACGATTCATCATGGAGCACTGATCCACGAGGAGGCCGCAGTACCAGGGGCACACGTAGAGCTTCTCGGTGGGCGCGTTCTTGTCATTTCTGGGCTGCCAGATGTGCAGACATGTCCAGACTTGCGCCAGCCACCAGAGGGGCCACAGCCAGAGGGCATAGTCGAGGCTTAGTGCGCCCAGCTGGCCCAGCTCCGGGCCCAGTGGCTGGAGCGTCAGGTAATCCGGCATCAGGCCGTGCAGCGAACACAAATCGCTGGCGCGCATCTGGGCCAGCCAGGTGGCCACACCGACGGTCACCGGGGCAGCCAGGTTGAGCGGCAGCGCATAGCTGAACTGCTGAATCTTAATCTTGCAGGCGAACTTCCCAAATATGTGGCACAAATAGGCGGCGGCCACCTGCAGCAGCAACGCGTAGAGCACCGCTCGGCTGTTCGACTGCAGCGTGTACTGGGCGAGTCGCGTGGGCGTGATGGATGTGCTGCCGTTGGCCAAATGTACCGTATCCAGCAAGCCATCCGTGTACTGGAATGGAATGTCAACAAGGGGGCAAGGAGTCACACTCTAGCTGAACGCCGGCGTATCTGCTGCCTAATGAGCACCTACCGTTACGGTTATGGAATGCGGCTGCCACGCCTCGAGGAACAGCGTGAAATAGTCGACAAAGCTCTCGCCGTGCAATAGAAAACCCATCAGGCCGAAAACCACAATTTTCAGTGGTGCCAAATAGAGGTAGGTGTGATAGCGCGAGCGAGTGCAGCGTATGTTCCGAATGATGTAGGCTAGAAAAATAAATATAGAATTGATGCATTGGTAAAAGAATACAAAAAATAATTACCAAATACATTTATATATAAAATATGAATGCAAAAGCAAATTCTTTTAAATTTGCATAAGTAGTAAAAAAACAAAATATTAAAAAATAATAAAATAAAATAAAATTAGTATAAATGGATTATTAGTTATATTTTATATGAATAAATGTTAATATATGATGAGCATTAGATTTTTATTTCACAATTTAAAAAGGTATATATAATTAAAAAATAAATAGGTATGCACATAATGTATAACAATTAAATAATAATAAAATTGCAAAATATTATTATTGTATATATTTAAGCGTAAACAAAAATATTAAATAAATTAAAATATTATATAAATAAAAAATATATATTTTTATTTAAAATGAATTAAAAGTATACTATAAAATAAATAAAATGTTTAAATTGCCGAAAATAAAATATAAATGTATTAACTATACATATAAAACTAATAAGAATATATCAAAAACACTTTTAAATTTATAAATTAATTTTTAATTTTAATTAATTGATTAAAAAATGTTAATCTAAGACAAAATATATCATATCTTCTCCCACTGTGCGCTGACTCAGTCAGCGAGTTCACTTACCTATCGCCTCGTGTGTATTGGCAAAGTTCTCCCACCAGCGAAACGAAACCAATAGCAGTGGAATGGCCAGCAGCTGGACCTCCAGCTGAGCGGACATGGCCGGCCAGATGAGGAAGGCGCTGCCCAGGGCCACAATGGCCAATATGGAGACGCCGTAGACAAGCATATCCGCAGATTTCCATTGCAAACGTGTGCCCGTCAACAGGTCTGAGACAAAATGTTAAGCAAAACACGAATGGCAATCAATTTAATTGCTGTCAGGCAATCAGATAAGATGCGAGATGCGAGACTCGAGATGGTAGTCATTAGATGTGTTAGCACTCACTGAGCAGCGCCGGTATGAAGCAAACACAGCAGCCGAGCATCGCTCCACGCGTCACATCCAGGTGCGGCAGCACGGTAAAGGTGAACAGGGCCAGCCCGATGACGTGCAGCAGTTCAAACAGTGTGACCTGATTAGCGACAACAACAACAACAACAACAATTGCTGCACTTTAAGCCTGTCAATGTTTAGACTAGAATAGATTACTCACGAGCGCCACTTCCAGGCCGGTGGGTCGCTTTTCACGCTTGAACATGGAGATGCGCAGAGCGCGCAGAAAGGTGAACAGCTCGGGAGCGGCAAAGGCAAAGATCAGGGCCCAGACCCAAGCAATTTGTTCCAGCTTGCTGCGCACAGCCATCACCTGGCCATCGAGCAGAACTGCAAGCAGAGGACAGACAGGATAAACGATGAGGGGCTTATTCTCTAGACTTTCCTCTAGCCTTTACTTACGGTATTTCGTGCACACTCGCACCACTGTATCGCCATTCGTATTGCCGGCCATGTAGAGATAAATCAGATTGGCCGTCACACTGGAGGCCAGGATCACGGCGAATACCAGCAGATAGACAAAGAGCTTGAAGAGCTTGAGAAAGAACTGCAACTTCTTCCAGTAGGCATCGGAGCCGCTTGTCCGCTTCGCTGGCGGATCTTGGAATGAATCCCACAACGGTGGCTTATCGCGCACTTTGCTGCGAATAAAAGTCGATTTTATTAGCAATTATCGTATTAATTGCATATTTATTTTTGTTTTTGTGTTTGTCTTCTTTGCCCGAATTGCAACGAACCGACTGCGCATAAAGTAGTTGCTCTCGTAGTCCGCACTCATGTCCGCTAGCGATCGTTCACGTTCTCCAACTGACTCGCAACCGCAACCTGAACAGGTTACAAATCGTCGATATCATCGATGTGCGTAAGTTGACAGCATGTCAACAAGCCGCGTCCGATAAGGCCCATTGGCACGAAGACCTCTATTAAATGGCACTTTATGAACTCTGCAAATATCTGGGCAATCTTGTAAAGCCCAGCCGACATTTGAGGTGTGTTCCGCCAAGTTTACTTCATCTAGTTTACGATCTTCTAAAGTTCTATTTAATTTTGTAAAGGCCGCAGCTCCAGCTCTATCAATGATAACAATGCTCAGCGGAAGTAGCTGGCCTCTACTTGAGAGTTGTCTATGAAATCAATTCGCTAATAGAAAATTACAAGTATAGTCAATCTAATGATTTGATTAGGCAGTTAAGAGTCTGTCTATATACTATGGAAGCTTCGTAATAATTATATTAACAATGAATATGCATTGAGTTAATTAACATTGGCCCGTTTTTCGTGGCGCAGATTGCAGCATTGCAACATTATTGCCAATTTAAATAGTAACAATCAAAAACTATTGTAATTTTGTTTACCATACCATACCAAATTTTCTTTACTAAAACTGTTTTTAGTTTAATAATAATTTTTAAATTATAGTTTGGCTTTTAAATGTGCAGCAAATTGTATAAAAAACTATAGCATACTTTTGACAGTTGTCAAATGGTTTGTAAACCGGCTAATCCAATTCAACTACCTCACCAGCCAATAGATGGCGCTACTCTGTGTTCTCACTTTTAGCAGCACATTGGTCCAATTCAATGAAATATTCATGAAAACAAACCCGCAGAACTTCATTAAATGCACAACAGATCGAAATCAGTGCCAGCTTATTTAACTATTTACAAACATATTTTAAATACAATAACAATACAAATAACAATCTCATTACTTAAAAATAACAATTTAAATATTAATTACATTATAAATTCACAAAAATTATAAAAACAATCTTTACTTGAACTGACATTCTATATACTAAAGCTAATTAGTTTACTTTTACATTTTGATCTTTGTGTTTTATACATGGAGTAAAAAAAATACTATACAATAATAGTCGGCACTTTAACTTAATACTACAGACAGTACAAACTTAATAAAAACTCAACAAGAAATGCAATTCGCATGGACACAACATGTAAAATCATTGACAACCGACGAAACTTGAGCGGGACGGGATTAACACATTTTACTGGGCGCCACCTGCTCCTCACTGTCATCCGGTAAATCCGAGTGCTGACGCGGTGCATCCAAGTCTCGCGCATCCTCCATTGTGGTGGGCAGCACTTTGTCGGCCGTCTCGGGAAAGCCAAGTGTCAGAAAGCCGCTGACCAAGGCGAAGGTGGCAAAGAGTATAGACGGCGCATGCTTATAGTATTTGGCCTAAAGCAAAGAAAACGTTAGCTGCATTTATTCCCCACAAAAAGCGAGTATTAGCCTTACCAGCAGAGGAGTTTGCGGCGCCAGCATAGAGCCAATACGTCCAATCATTGAGCAGAACGAGAGCAGGCTATTGCGCACATTTGTGGGAAAGATTTCCGAGGTAAAGAAGTATAAGATCTGAAAGCTGCACGTAATCGCCAGCTTTCCGATGAGGAACAGCGTCAAGGAGCCCGCATAGTCATCTGAAAGAGCCAAAGAGAAAATATCTGTAAGTATTTATCATATAGATATCTCGATATACTAACCCGGTCCGACTGCAGCGGAGGATGCCATGCAGATGGCGCAGATCAGCATGGAGACGCACAAGGAATACCTTCGGCCAATGCGGTCCATGATGACCAGAGGCAGAATCAGGCCGGGAATCTGCACGAAGCCATTGAACATGAAGTTATTGTACTTGTTGCCGCCCAAATTCACCGAGTTCAGGCTCAGTCCGAGCGCAATCAGCGTGTGGGTGAACCAGCAGAAGCAGCAGTTGGCAATGCGCCAGGCGAAGAGGCGAGCTGCCTGGCTGATGGGATATTGGCTCTCGTTGGCCTGCTGCAGCTTTTGCCGATTGTTGTTGAGCAGCTCTTCCACCTGAGCCTCGGGCAGCGGCCGTTTATTGATATCGGCCGCACGCCTCAGCACTGCCGCAGCGCGCTTCTCCTCGCCCTGGCAGAGCAGCCAGCGCACGCTCTCCGGCAGAATCCAGAGCAGCAGCACATGCAAGATGGCTGGCGCATAGAGCACTCGCAGCAGCCAGCGCCAATCCTGCACGTAGGCCGCCAAGACGCCCAGCATCGCCTCGCCGATGGAGTAGAAAATTGTGATGATCGTTGCTGCGGCGACACGGCGCTTCGGGCCGACCAGTTCGATGGCCAGCAAAAAGGCTGTGGGGAACAGCGTGCTGCCCACAGCCATGTCCAGGAACTCGAAGCACAGAAACATGGCATAGTTCGTAGATAATGAACGTATGATGCCCATTAGAGCGCTCAGACTTCCAGCAATGGCCAGCATTGTGCGACGACCATAGCTGCAAACGTGCAAAGTATATTATTTATTTACTTGGATTAGAATTTTCATACTCTACGTACCGATCTGCGAAATAGCCACCCAGAGGTATGCCCACAAACTGGCCCACATTATTTATGGTGCCCACCAGGGAGAGCATCCACTCGTCTTGGCAAAATATGTTGAACTGTGTCAATCAATAATGAAAATAATAGAGATATGTAAAGTAAAAAATAAATATAAAAATTAAACTTAATAAAATCTAATAAAATAACATTATTCTGTTTTTGTTTATTTAAATAATAATAAATAGTATTTGCTAATTTAAAAATAAAAGATGACAAACTAATTGAGATTTTTTATTAATAGAAAATTAATAATAATATTTTTGTACTTTTACCATCTGATAATTTGAGAAAAATATATATGTATTAAAACCTTCTGATTTATTTAACAAAAGTTTACAAAAAATAAATAATTTGTTTGTTTATTTTGATACATCAAAATAATAAACAAATAACTAATTCAATTTTTAAAGAAAAGCTAAAAATGCTTTCAATTTTTAATCACGAATAAACAAGTGAACTATGTACATACATAGCTTAATTCGCAACGAAATCCCTGATTCACAGCACAAGATTAACACTTAATCTACTCTATAAACCCCAAATATGATTAGATACAGTTACGAGCAAAAAAATCGCTTGTCATTCTTCTTCAATTACAATGCACATATGTATGTATAATAGAAGAAAACAAGGCATAAAGCACGATTTGAATACGGAGAAATATTTTTAATGGGGAAAATAAATGTTGATATTTAAATTTTATGGAATTTGCTTCTAAAGTCAGGTACGCAGTGCTCTCAAGGACTAATACCATTTAAATTAAATTCAATTTAAAATAAAATAAATATAATCAAACTAACATAATATGTTTGCACTTTCACCCAGCCAACATGGAAAATATAGGTATGTATACACCTATATTATATACACATATATTTTCAATAAAAAATGTGTAATGATGTTTGATATGTATTTGACTATAACATATATTATATATTTATTATACTTATGCTTTACCTCTGTGGAAATGGTTTTCTCTTCATCGCGAAATTTAAAATCTGTGCCGCATCTCTCTGTCTTGTTGTCAAAATATTCCTCTGAGCAAAACTCAGTTGAGGGCAAGCTAGAGGACAAAGACTGCGCCTCCGGTACGCTCACATAACGACTACATGAATCCCACGCGGAGTTCTTATACGGCACCGTAAAGTTCAGCCACGGCGCCTCATACAAGCTGTCTGGACTATCGCATTGTGTGATATTACATCTAAATATTATTCGAGTGTAGATAGAACAGATGAACAGAGAAAGAGGGAGAGAAGGAGATGGCGTGCGTGAGTAAGAGCAACATGTGTTCGGAGAGCACCGCCTTACCTCTGCACCACTGTGCTGGCGGTGAAGACATAAGAGATAGAGAAAAACGCGTTGAACACCATGGGCACACACAGTAAAGCATAATTGACCAACTGAAAGCGCCCGAATTGCCCAATTCGCACCAGAATGGCATCCAGTGAGTTATCTTCCTCGGCGGATGCCTCCACTCTCCCAGCCTCAGTCTCCTGTAAAACGAGATGGCCATTGGACGTCGTCGGGCACTCGTTCTCAACGACAGCTGAGGCAGTGCCATTTATACTCTGTTTTTCGTCAAACATGGCGATAAGTTACTTGAATTTCGTTATTTTAATTTAACTTGAATAAAACGTTCACTCGGACTACTTCCGACCGACGTGGTTGAATGCACTTTTTATCTACTCGACGATTGGTAACGTTTTATTAATATGCCCTGAAGAAGAACGTGAGCTTTTTATAGCCCCAAGTTCGTATGAGAATTCCTATATTTTTGGATTCTATGGGCACACGCGTCTCGCCACGTGGAGTGTCCGACGCTGAGCATTGCCGATCAATGACTGATCTGATGGTGTAGTGCGACCACCACGTCAACCAGTTGTTATTTTAGGCTAAACTCACTCATTTATGCACTACCCTGAGAGTTGAACACTTTTAGCCTGTGATATGTCACACCATATAATTTTCATTAATTTTGTCTCTGTAGACAAACTAATATATTACAAATATTTTCACAAACTAATACTTTAATTTTTTTAATTTTATATTAATATTATCATATTACAAATTAAAATTGATTTATTAAAATAATACCGTAATTGAATCTAATATGTTTATTTAATTTAAACCCATTTTTATACATCAAAATATACCACAAGTACTTCTTTCGAAAACAATATTTTATTTTACGAATATATTAGTCTGATATACCTTAAAATAAATATATGTATGTATAAATATAATCTTTCAAAATAACATAAAAGTAAATTCTCATTAATTAAACACTTTTTAGGCATACGAAAAATACTTTCGAAAAGTATTTCACTTTCGGTCTTATCGTTTGTTTTACTCTCTTTCTCTCTCACTCTCTGTCTCTCGCTCTATCGCTAGTTGTATGCTCTGTTTTGATTCAGTTCTGCCTGATTACGAAACTACGGCACGCTTGCTACAGATACGATATTCGGCACCCGCTCTCTGTCACTTTTACTACATGCATGGCTTCAATGGACTGCTCTTATCGTCACGTTATCAGCTCGTCTGGCCGATTTCAGAGTTAATGGTTATTGTTTTTGGGTTATATGCACCAAAGAATCATAAATGGCTTCAACACGACTTGATTGACATCGTCTATACATTGTCAAATTACAACTGTTCGCAATGTGTTCTCGCCCCGCCAAAATGTCTGCTACGCAACGCGGCGCCTGATGATCTGATAATTATATTGCTCTATTTGTATGTACTGTCATCATTGACAATAATAATTGGATTCCATAGATTCCATTACAGCTTTCAGATTTTGAAGATATGAAGATATGAACTAAGTCAACACAATTAATCAATCAAAAACAATTTACAATTCTCATATTGTGTATATATGAGAGTATATGATTATCGGTAGATTATGAATTTCCTTCTTTATTTAATATTAAATGATATATGCGTGTATGATAAATCAGTGCATCAGTTTATTGAAATACAAATCTGGTTCGACTGAGGACACAGTAAACTTCCCTTCCAGTTTCTATATTAAATAATATCAAATGATAAGATTAGCTAGTAATTGAACATGTATTTGGTAAGTGTATATTTATTCTAGATAGAGAGATTGTCTAGCTAAAAACACAAATGGAATACCATATGGCAATTGAAAAATAAACAACAACAAAATACAAGTGTAGAACTTGTGCTCGTTAATAACTCTAATGATTTTCCCATTTCAGCCACTTAACAAGTTTTCAACTGGTTTTATACGCCCTGCCATGACTATTTCTAATATACAAGATACAAACGTTAGACGTAAAACATTTCTGTAGCCCATTATTAAAATTGTTTTTCTTTTTAATAATTTCTTTTTGTAAATGTAAACTTATGATTTTTTTATAATTTTAATTGATATTTATTTTCCCATGTCAACAATTCCATGACTCACTCACCTCTGTGGCTATGGTTTTTTCATCATCCATCAGTTTGTATCCCGATTCGCAGCTGACTATTCACAACCAACTCCAATCGATTTATATTGACTGCACTGATCCCAGACGTCGTCGCTCCTAGGTGTCGTAAAATTCAGCCAAGGCTCTATGAAGCTAATAGTAGCTTCATAGGAGTAGGTTGTGATGCGGATAATAGTAGTACTGTCGCAGTCGCCAATGTAGCATCTGTAGTGGATTCCACATTAATTTCAATTCAATAGGCAACGCTCTACATACCTGTGACCCACAGAACTGGCTGTAAATAAAAAGGGCATGCAAGGTGCTGCAAATGATGGGCAGGCAGAGCAGCACATAGTTGCGCATCTGAAAGCGTCCAAAGTCTCCAATCCTAACGATTCTTGCTTCGAATTGGATGTCCCGTGCAGCAGTTGCATCTTGCTTGATTTCTTCAACTTCCGTCTCATATGGCGCATTAAACAATAGTGCAAAAACTCTTTCATTTCACAATTCATATTTATTGTTAAACTTTATGCAAGAATTTAAAAAATATCACTTGATGTTGGAATGTGTTTGTTTGTTTTGTGGGTGTATCTTATATATGAGATAGAGAGACCGTTTAGCTAAGAATACAAATACAAATATCATATTTAAGATTACTAAAGCGTGCTCAAACTGAGATTTTGGAGTGTATATAAAGCAAGTGCCGGAAAACAAACAATCAACTCAGGAGTTTGTTCTCAATAACAGCTTAAATGAATTTATATTAATTTTATTTTTTTTTAAGCACTTAACAGGCTTTTAACTGGTTTTATATGGCGTGCCACTAGCGAACACTGCATAAAAGTGCCTACTCTTAATATACAACCTACAAAAGTTAGTCGTAAATCAATTCTTATATCCACAGTTGTAAATACCGTCCGAAATGTTGCATTTGTGTCAAACAAAATGTGAACTAATTATAATATCTTGTTAGAGATTCTACAAAAACTTTTCTCATATATGTATATGTTATATAGTGCTATATATATATGTATATATATAAACTGATACAGTATAAATATGCAGCTCTCGGCCGCAACTACAACGTTGTTTGTTTCTCTACGTTCCTAGTTATATATCAATCAATCTTATAAATTTGCAAGTATGATAATTTTCCAACTAGTTAAAAGGGGAATGCTCCGACATATCCAGAGCAAGCCTAGACTGTTTATAGATTATACATAGGATTACTAGTAGCATCGAACAGCTGAGTGCCCGTCGACTCAATCATCGAGCGCAACGCGATGCTGCGTTGCTTGGCCACGGCTTTGCGTAGCGTCAGCTCGAATACATTATCCTCATCGATGTTATCCATGGGCAAGTGATCCCTGCTGTCGGCCGGCTTCTCAGGCCTCTGAAATACCAATTGCTCGTGCTCGTACAAAACGCATGTTTCAGCAAATTCCTTGGCAAAGTATTGTGCTGTATTCCGGCTCTTGATGACCTCGCTGGGAAAGCATTGCAGCAGCTCCTCAAAGCTCAGCTCAGCTACGAGATTATTTAGTATTTCTGTGAATCAAGTCAAATTAATAAATAGTTACATTTAGACAATATTTAATAAGGCAACAAATACCTGCTATATGTGATTTCCAATTGGGCAGCGATTCTTGTTTACTAAGAATCTTACGCAGCAGCGACTCCCAATGCTTAGGCGTAAATCCGCACGACTATGGATGAAAGAATTAACAATTAACTTCAATTTTTATAAACTCATTTCTTACCTTGCCATATTGCCACAAGTAGGCGGGACAGAAGCTAAGCATATAATTGATAGCCAGATTCTTGGGCAATATTATTACCAAGAAGCTATCGATGCCTATTAGATTCGGCGATTTCTGTATGAATGCCAAGAACTCCGATATGATTTCGCGATCCACCTTGCTGGAGGCCAGCAGACTCTGAATCTTGAGAGTCAGAGTCAAGAGCTCATTGTGCCAGCCCGTGAAGCGCACCTCGAACTCGCCTTCGTCCTTCTTGGGATAGCTAAAGTCGCTGCGCTCAAAGGGCGGCAAGCGATTCAAGTACTGCGGACGTTCCAACAAGCACGGAATGGGTCGTATATAGGCTTTGATGTGCTGCTCGAACTCCTCGCCCTCTGGCAGCTTGTAATCGGGTATATAGGGCACAAATATCAGCTTGTTCGATAGTGGTTCGTTGACTTGCCGTACGCTTGGCTTGCTGCAATAGTTCGGGGCCATGCCGACCATATATGCAATGCATTCCATGCGCAGATTTAAGAAATCCTCGCGGCTGCTCTGCTGCTCCACATCAGCAGACTGCAGGTCAGTAATGAGATCACTGAGAGCCTTCAAGCGGCCCATGAACATGCGAAAGAGTATTTTGAGACCTTTCAGATTTGTGGCAGCCGCATCACCGTCTGGCTGCAGCTGAGACAACGAAGCATTCGAGCTGCGCTTTTGAAATGGGGAGCCGCCCTGCTGATCCTGCAGCTGGTCGTATACAATGCGCTGCTGTCGGCCGCTGATCGAGCGCTCATCGGGCGCCGAGCTGGCACACGAACTGGACAGCGATTGCACATCGGCCTCGCTGTGCAGAGAGGGCGCTCTCGAGCTGCTGCACTCATCATCATAGTCGTCGTCCAGCTGAGGCGGCGTCTGCGAGCGCACTTCGTGCGGCTGGAGCGACGAGCTCACGTCGTACAGATCATAGTAATACACTTGCAAGATGTTCACGAACACCTTCTGCGACGTCTGATAGCCCTTCTGGCCAATGTGCGAGGCGATGTAGTTCAGAAACAGCTGCAGCACCACGTCCAGCGTTAGGCTGTGCTCCATGCACAGAGCATGTATGAAGGCATCGCTAATGGCCTCAATGAGAGCGGGCTGCTCGGTCGCCAGCAGAATGGTCTCGCAGAAATCCGAAAAGGAAATTATGGCACTGGGCGTCGGCGTCGATGCGCAGCCACCCGAAGACTTGCCCTTCGTTGTGGCGCCCCGACGGGAGCGCTTACGCGCGGCATTCAGCGACTGCGACTGGGGCTCTGGCTGCTGCCGACGCTGATAAAGCACAGTGCTGTCATCAAAGAGCACATTCTTATGCTTGATCAGCGCCACAGCTAGAGAGCGACGCGTGGACTTGGCAATCACTTCCTGAGCGAGCAGATAGTTCGACATGCGACAAGCTGTGACAGCCAGCAACAGATTCTCATCGGGTGTGCTGCAAATTCAATTCAATAATTCAATTAAATTCCAACTTGAATTAGCTCTGCATATGCCCACTTACAGCGTCGTCAAGTACTTGAGATAATTGATCAGCTCGCCGCTCATGGCATCGGCCACCACTGGGGAGCTGAGCATTATCGCCGGTATATCGGCGGGCGCATGTTTGATGAACATATTGAGAAATTCCATGGAGAGAGGAACTTGTTTGTAGCCCTGCTGCAGCACGCGAGCGGGCGTGAAATATGGCGAGACAGTTTGATGCAAAAACGAAGACCTCAAGCGATCCGTGCCCAGGCTGAGCAAAAACAGTTTTACGGTATAGATGAGGCCAGCTAACTGTGATGTCTCCACCACCTGCTCGTTGTCCATGAACGCGGCTATGTAGTTGTTATAGATATCCACCAATTGCAGTTGGCACATCTTGTAGAAGCCCGTGGCTTGCAAGTAGACTTCTTGCTTATTGGAGCTGTGGTTGACAATTGAGGAAACATTAACATGGCTCTATATGTATTATATTAATAATAGTTGTCCTACCGTATGGAAAAGTCAGCCAACTTTCTGCAATTGGCCATAAACATCTTACGCAGCTCCTGTTCCCTCTCCACACTCAAGCGCTCGCCCTGCAGGGTCAAGCTCAATCTGAGCATAATATGCGCCTCCTCCATTAAATCGTAGAAATTCGAGCTGCTTACGCTGCGATACGATTCGGCAATGCCCTCGAGATCCTCTATAATGTGCTCCACCTTGGGCACCTCCAGGTTGTAGAGCGTCCACTCATTTACCACAGAGGACTGGGCGGCGGTGCTGCTGCTTCTCAGCAGGCTGTTGTGCTTGGCCTTGGCCTCTGCCAGGAATCTAGCTGCAATGTTCCGTTTGACAGCCACCGGGACAACCTCGCCGGTGCTGCGACGCTTGTGCTGCTCCAGCGCGGTATTCGTGATCAGCACCAACTGCTCTCGATTGACGCACACGAATTGCACGTGCATAAAGGCGGCCAGGCCGATAACAGCAATGGGTGAGCTGACGTCTGGCGAGGACTCCTCGGGAAAGAGTCCGCCAATGCTCGGATACTCGAAGCGATTGTGAAAGAGCTTGTGGCCAATGCGCGAGGTATGCGTTTCCACAGACTCCGAGGTGACGGCAAAGATAACATAGTCGTTCACATGCACCTGCAGCACAGGCGCCGTAAAGCTGTAGCTGGCCACCGGCTTCTCGTTCTCGCTGTACCACTTGCCCTGCGCACAGAACTGATACAGATAGCCATCCACGCTGCTGGCCACGAGCAGCGCATGGCCCACACAGCGCTGGTGCTGCGAGGACTTCAGAGTCCGGCGATTGGCATGCTTGAAAGTGGTCACGGCACTGGGCACCTGCTGGTTGCCCATGTCGTATTCGTCATCCTCATCCGGCTGCTGTTCGTTGTTGCGCTGATAGATGGCCTTCAGGTCCATGCATCTCAGTATATCCAAGACGCGTGACTGCGGATCCGAAGTCCTCATGCATATCTGCAGCAGTTTCCGTATATCGTACTGCACCGACACGTCCTCCGTCACACTGTTGCCGCCTGCACCGATGCCTCGCACATTCATGGCCTTCGCCTCGTTGATAAGCTTGATTTTAATGTCCGAGGCGCGCTGTGGCGTTATGGTTATCTCTTGCGTGTTATCTTCCGTGCCGCCGCAGCGATTGTTGCCATTCTCGCACTGATCCCACTGAGAACGCAGCTCAGGCTCGAATTCGCGTCCATAGGCCGTGTTCACCAGTCGCGCCACATTGAAATCGAGAGGCGTGCGTCCAGCTAAGCCCGGTCCGCTTATCAGCACAGGCTTGGCGCTGCTGGACGACTGCAAGGAATCGCTCTCACAGCTCTGCTGACTGTGCGTGCTGCTGACAGCCGCTGCACTCGCCTTACTGCCCAAGCTGAGCGACTCTGACAGGGGCTCGTCGCCCGCATAATCATTGTCCAGGCAGCTGTGATCATGCCCAGCAGCGGCGGCAGCGGTTGCCGCCTTGTTGGCCAGTGCATCGACCACCTTGAAGGCCACACAATAGCGATGGTTCAGACAGGCGATGACATTCTCGGCCAGGCACAGGCGCAGCGGCACAAAGTTCAGCTGCACGAAGAACTTGAAGGGCAGAAAGTCGATGAACGAGAACCTCGGCTGGGTATTCTCGTGCACGCACTGCGTATACTCGTACAGATAGATGCGGTCCTTGCTGCTCACGATTATGTTGCCGGACGTCTGACAGGTCTGCACCAAATCCGGCGGACTGCGCAGCGGCAGCTCAATCACATCGATGCTCTCGATCAGCGGCGTCTTGGGCGTTGTCATCGAGGCAATGCGTATTGTGATGGGCAGCTCATTCAGCTTGGCGTCTGGGAACTTCCAGAAGTTCGCATAGATGCGCACGAACATTTTGGTATCGTCCTCAGAGCAAACCGTGTTGCTGTTGCTGCTCGATGTGCAGCTTATGCTGGTGCTGTTTGAGTGCACCGGACTGCCAGCTTGCTCCTTCTCCAGGGTGAGCAGGTACTTGCCTAGAGTGAGTGGGAATATATGAGCTAGATGGAAGATATATACTATGTAAGGCCCTCGCTTACCAGCCTCGCAATAGATAAGCTGCACCACCTCGCCGACTGTGGCCAAGGTATACCTAAATGGCATACGCTCATCAATCGCTGGCGTGGGCGAAGTCGCATCTCCCGCTGCTGTTTGATCCTCCTGCGTGCCATATTCCTGCTGCTCTGACTGCTGTGGCTGCTGCTGCTGCTGCTGCTTACCACCAATGTCATAGATCTCGATAAACTGCTCCGCACTGCTGATGGCTATGCGATTGTTGCCAATTAGGGTGGCTGCCAGAATGTCGCCGTTTAGAGCATATGTCTGCTGCTTGGCAAAGTTGTAGGCCTGCAAAATCTTCACCATGGCGACGCTGTCCTCACTGCAAGCGGCACAAAAGTAAACGAACCACTTAAAAGCAATCAAATCAAATGGAGCACTGCAATGCGATATAACGCCCCAATGACTTCATCGTCCGCCGTCCAACAGAGACTGAGCTGCTTCGCTGCTTCACAGCCCAAAGTCCCCTAAAAAGTAACGCTGATGATGTCGACCGGCTGAGTGTCTGAGTCTGAGTGGGTTGACTCTGCTACTGGCTACTCTCTATTAGCAGGGGGCTCGCTCGAGCAGTAGTTGTTATCGTTCTCGTGGGCAGCAGCCATTAGCATAATTGCGCGCTTATGCTGGGAGGCAGAGCGCAGAGCTGTAGCGTAATTCTAGCAGCTCTATTTGTATATGTTTGTGCGTTTGCGGCTGAGGGTTTGTCATCTTGGATTACCACACTTTAATTTAAATTAATTTCAGCAATACATTTGACATTAATAGTCAAATTATTCTCACACTCTCTCTTTCTCTCGCTATCTCTCTCTATCATATGTATACATATTTATGTTTATTAATAAATACTATTTAAGTCAGTTGGGTTTTCATTTAACTATTTAGAATAATTATACAAAAATTTTACAGCTTTGTTAATAATATATATGGGCAAAAAAAAAATTAATAATAATAATATATAAATAAAACAAACAAAAATTTAAATGCATTTAATTTAATTTGGAATTCGATTTCATTTTAATATTTATTATTACGCCAACCATTTTATAATTCATTTTAAATAGTTACAAATTATATAAAATATAAATATTATATAAAATATAGTTTTAGGTAATCAGCTATTTAGAATTTTTGTTCTTGAAAAAATTTTCAAAAAATTTTAATATTTTAAAAGTGAGAAATTTAGTTTAATACTAATATTCTTAATATCCTAGTTATGAATATCAAACCATTTATAAATAGAAGTCGCTGCTCCCTTAAACAACATTTAACAACTGACAACTGAAATTCATAAGTGATTTTTGATGGGCACGACATGAGATATTACAACAGGTCAGTGCTGCACCTGCCGCTTCCTTTTAACATTCTTTCTCTTTATCCATTAATAATGCGAAATTAGGTCACAATTATACACACACAATACCTGGCCACGCATACCCGACCCACTAGCCAACCCACCCATCGAGCCAAGTCAAATCGTTGTCACAGTATTTGGTCAAGCAATAAATATAAATGCCACTTGACTGGGGCTGGGCAGCTTCTACGTGCGCTTACCTAATTAAGCCATAGTTGGACACACATACATATATCAAATAAAGAATAACACTAGAGGTAAATCAAGGGGAACACAAGGAACGAAACTTTTGAATGACGCACCCATGACTCGAAATATATACACCGGAAATAGATTCAAACACGACACGAAATATTCTATTTTTGACCACACAGAGAGCCGGGCTCTCGCAGGTCAAATGCCGATCAATAATTCTTCTGATAATTATCTGCAATGCGTGTGCATTAAGCTAAATGAGTAAATCTGTACGTGCGTGTGTGTATGTGTATGGGAGTGGGCGTGTATGTGTGTATGTAGGCATGTGTGTGTATTGTATATGCGCTGCATTTGGCAAGCGGTATTTCGAAAAAAATCAATAGCTCTGCGGTTTGCCAAAAATTTTATATAAGCCGGAACTAATAGTATTCACCCAGAAATATTCAATAAAATAATAATAGTCTTATTACCAACAATGCAAATTTAAAAACGCTTTAATTTTAATACTTATTCATTCCACTTCATTAATTATTCAAACAATTGAGCTCGTACATTCAAAAAGTAGCGGAATAGCCTCGGTTGGCTGCAAGCCTTATGCCACTTTATTCAGTTGATTTATACTGAATTTCGAAACATTTTAAACCATTTTTCATACACTAATACACATTTTTATTTGTTTACTTAAAGTTTCCATTGGCAAAACATAATTGGATAAAACTAATTCGCCTGTTTACATCTTTTCGATAGCGTTGCCACTTGGGCAACTGAACTCAATGCTAACAAGACAGCTGTTCGGATAAACGCGTCATATGGCAGCACTGAAGCACGCTGCAGTACTATATGCTTGTCCCGCTCGCACGCCCGCTCAGCTGTTGCCGACCGCTTGTTGCGTTCAAAATCAAAGTCGCAATTTCACAAAAGCGATGAACAGCGAATATTAAAAACAAAATAATATGAGTAACTCCACGCGTGCCTTTGTTGGCATGCAAAACAAATATGACCGTGTGGTCCTGCTGGTAGACATGGACTGCTTTTTCTGCCAAGTAGAGGAGAAACAGCATCCCGAGTATCAAGGCAAGCCGCTGGCTGTGGTGCAATACAATCCTTGGCGCGGAGGCGGCATCATAGCTGTAAACTATGCGGCGCGTGCAAAGGGTGTAACACGGCATATGCGAGGCGATGAGGCCAAGGAACTGTGCCACGACATAATCCTGTGCAAGGTGCCCAACATCAGGGAAAAGGCAGATACGAGTAAATACCGCGATGCGGGAAAAGAGGTGGCCAATGTGCTGCAGCGCTTCACCCAGCTGCTGGAACGCGCATCTGTAGATGAGGCCTATCTGGACATAACAGAGACAGTTAATCAGCGCATTGAGCAGCTACAAACCGTAAGAATTGGATAGAGTAAATATTTATTTAAATCTAATACAATAGAATATCTTTCCAGGGCACCTTTTCATTGAAGCCCGAAGAGCTGGTCAATTGTTATGCCGTTGGCTATGATAATATTGGCGATTATGTGAATAAGATCACCAATCGCTTTGCCAATCCTTATGTGGATGATGAACGCTATGTGCTTGCCTACGATCCCAACGACCTTCCGGCAGTGCGTCAAAGCGACTTACGTCTATTGATTGGCGCCTGCATTGCGGGTGAGGTGCGTGCCGCAGTCAAGGCAGAAACGGGCTACGAATGCTCGGCAGGCATCGCGCATAATAAAATACTTGCGAAGCTGGCGGCGGGCATGAACAAGCCGAATAAACAGACAATACTGCCACTGGCGCAGATACCGCCGCTCTTCGACCAGCTGCCGGTGGGTAAAATCAAGGGAATGGGCGGCAAATTCGGAGAAACAGTGTGCGAAACACTCGGCGTTAAATTCTTGGGCCAGGTGCTCAAGTACAGCGAGAAGGACTTGCAGCGCAAGTTGGACGAGAAGAGTGGGTGAGTTGAAGAATAACTCCCCTTTATAAATGGTTCTTGATTAACTATCTTCCCATTCCCCACAGTACCTGGTTGCACAACATAGCACGTGGTATCGATCTGGAGGCGGTGACGCCACGTTTTTACTCCAAAAGCATTGGCTGCTGCAAAAAATTCCCCGGTCGCAATAATATAACTGGCCTGAAGACACTGCAGCACTGGCTAGGGGAGCTAGCGAGCGAGATAAATGATCGTCTAGAGAAGGATTTCATAGAAAACAATCGTAAGGCAAAGCAAATGGTTGTGCAGTACGTGCAGGACATCGATGGCCAAGAGGTGGCCAGTTCCCGTTCCATGCCACTCAATCAATGCGATCAGGAGACGCTCGTCAAGCAGTCGCTGGAGCTGATCAAGACCAATACAAAAACGTTCTTGCGTCCTGGCAGCGAGGCTGCCCTCAACAATGCCATCAAATTCCTGGGTATCAGTGTGGGCAAGTTCGAATCGGCATCCAGTGCGCAGAACAGTCTCCAGACGATGTTCGCCAACCAGGCTGCCAAGAAGCGTCGCATCAGTGTGGAGGAGTCTGTGGAAAAGCCAATTGTGGAACAAGCGAAGCCGAAGCAAACCGAAGAGGGTAAAATGAAGAGCTTCTTCGCGAATTACTTGCAGGCGCGCAAAGAGGAGCCCTCGGAAGAGCAATTGCCGAAAGAGGAAACTAAAATCGATAAGCTGGCAGAGGTGACAGCCACGCCTCTCAATGCAACAGAAGCACCGAAGAAAAGTTTTTTTGAATCATATAAAAAGAAATTGATTGATGCGTCTGTTTCAAGAGATGCCAGCGACGACAAGTTAACGCCTGCTTCTACGCCTCCTGAACTTAGAGAGAGCTTTTTTGTCAAGTATCTGAAGCAGCAAAGAGAAGTCAAGAAAGATGCGGAGCAATCAAATGAGACAAAGTCTGAGGCCAACAGTTCGTCTGAAATGCAAGATTTGGCCGCAGAACTGGATGAGATTGAATCAAACAATAATAAGCCGCATCAAGAAAATGAGACTGTGCCACCAGAACAGTCAAGCAATCATAATCCCCATTCAGAGGTTGAAGTTCTGCCTTCTACATCAAAACGTAAATTGGATCAGGAAAATTCCAGTGAACCAGCGACAGCCACAGACTTTACGAGTACGTACGTGGAGTACGCATTGCCAGAGCTGCGCCCAGAGTTGATCAGCTTTGTCAAGTGCGAGGAGTGTGGCGCCCAAATACCCGACGATGTGAAGGCGCTGCAAACCCATCGCGATCATCACTTTGCCCAGCAGCTGAATCGACAGCTACGCTCGGAGCAGCGCGAGGAAGCGCAGCGTATTCGATTGAATGCCACAACCACAACAGTTGCCTCACCCCCAACCAAAGCTGCGACCGCAAAGAAAGCTAAAAAGGCTAGCGGAGCCACAGCAACGACAACAACAACTCCTAAGCCTGTCAATAGCATTACGAAGTTCTTGGCACCCAAGCAACCACTGGAACCACCTCCCAGCTGCAGCAATGCACCCATGGAGCTCTGCGCCGAATGCAAAACATATGTCAAATCCGTGGATATGCCGGAGCATTTGGATTTCCATATGGCCAAAAAGCTACAGCGCGAACTCAATCAGCTGGAGGTGCGCACGATTATCACCTCAACGAACAAAAAGTCAACGCCGCCGCCTGCCAGCAAGAAGCTAAACAGTACCTTAAACGCTACCTCGGCTAACCATTCGATTACCAAGTTCTTTACGCAGACCAATTAGGAAGCACAACACTTTACCATAATTTGAAATCATGCTTGCAAACAGTCAGTTCCTCCATAATGAAAGTATTATAATAATAATTTATTTGCGCAGCTAAGGCAGCTAAGCTAACTCACATGTGGCAACTATTGAGGTGTTGAGTCTAGTTGAATATTAAAGTCACATTGAGAACTATCGTATGTATCATTCCGGTCTGTGTGCCATTATGTACCAGTTATGCTACTAGTTATATTAAGCAATTTTTTTTTTTTTTTTTTTCATATATAAGTTGAAGATTATTCATCATACGATATACATATTTCAAATAAATAAAGTTTCATTATAACTTTATTAAATGAAATCGAAGTTATATCCTCTTTGCATTTTGTATAAAATATACAAAATATAAAAAATTAAATTTTCGTAAAATACTTGCATTGCATATTAAAACTTAAATAATTTCTTAATGTGTGTTAATACTCCCACTTTCAAAATCAAACTAGAATCCTTTCAATGGATTCCATTGGATTGGATTTTGGGTATTTTGCAGTCCTCTGACAGAAAAACAGATTAAAATATTTTTGGCTCTGAGTGGAGCAGCGAATGTAGTCTATTTTAATTAATATCTCGAAGTACTTAAGACAAAATAATGACAAATAGAGATATATATAGGTACACATGATATATAATGCAAAGTTGTCTTTGAACTGTCTCGTGGTTGTCTTAGAACTATAAAGTGCTTATAGACTAGAGAGTAAGGCTGTTATGCGGGTTGGTTGATGCTCTGATCCTTTGGCGGTTTCTTGACACCGATGGCGTGCGCCTCCTTGACCGTGGTGGGCAGCACAAGGTTCGTGGTCTCGGGGAAGAAGAGCGTGAGGCAGCCACTGAAGATGGCGGCGCAGGCAAAGAGAATGGCGGGAGCGTTTGCGTAATACTTGGCCTAAATCAGAAATCAGAAAACCAAAATTGAGTTGAAATAGAATTTGAGAAATGTGATCTCTGTCCCGACATACCAGCAGCGGCGTCTGCGGCGCCAGCATGGAGCCAAATCTGCCCATCATGGAGCAGAAGCTGAGCAGGCTGTTCCTCAGGTTGGTGGGAAAGATCTCCGAGGCAAAGAAGTAGAGCACCTGGAAGCTGGCCGTGATGGTCAGCTTGCCCACCAGGAAGAGCACCAGCTGCAGCACCTGCTGATCGCCTCCAGCGAAAATGGTGCCGATGCAGCAGAGGCCACTGAAGATCATCAGGCCGCACAGCGAGTAGCGTCTGCCAAAGCGATCCATGATGAGCAGCGGCATGAAGAAGCCCGGAATCTCCACAAGCGCGATGTAAGCAAAGTTATTATACTTATCGCCATCCAGGAGCACAACATTCAAGCTCAGCCCATAGTAGACCAGGACATTGACAATCCAGCAGAGCGAGCAGTTGGCGATGCGCCATTTGAAGTTGCGGAAGGCCTCGCGAATGGGAAACTTGCTCTCCTCGGACTGCTGCAGCTTGTCCTTGTTGGCGATGACCAGCTTGTCCAGCACACTCTCCGACAGCCTGCGCTTGTTCACGTTGGCCGCGCGTCGCAATATGCCGCGGGCACGCTCCTCCTTGCCGACGCTGAGCAGCCAGCGCACGCTCTCGGGCAGTATCCAGAAGTAGGCCAGCAGGATCAGCGACGGCCCGTAGGTGATCCGCAGCAGATTGCGCCAGTTCTGGAAGCCCTTGGCGAACATGGCCAGCGCCACCTCGCCCACGGCATAGAAAACGGTGATCACGCTGCAGGCGAGCACCCGCCGCTTCGGTCCGACGAGCTCAATGCCGATGATGAAGCACGTGGAGTAGAGCGTGCTGCTGGTCAGATTGTCCAAGAACTCAAAGATCAAAAACCAAATATAACTGGGCGAATACGAGCGCACAACGCCCAGCACGGCCCCAAAAATGCCGCCCAGCGCAATGGAAAAGCTGCGGCCATAGCTGAAAATTAAACAAATTAATCGAATGCTTATGGAAAATTTCCTGATTTAGTGGGTTTCATTCTCACCGATCAGCCACAACACCTCCCAGTGGTATGCCAAAGAATTGCCCCAGATTATTGATGGTGCCGACCAGCGATAATTTCCACTCATCTTCGCAGTAAATTCCAAACTACAAAAGGTAATTTAGAATAAATTAGTGCTCTCTCCCTGATCCATCTTGAGGAATTCTTAATGAAAAAGTTGCAATCATTTATAATAATAAATTGGCACTACAATAGTTCCATTTCGCAGGTCGTTTATTCACTTGAGTCGTTTATTCGTCTGTTTATCAGCTCTTTATGTGATTTGCCTCCATTTGCATATCTAATCTAGACTCGTTATTTACATATGTATGCTGCAAATTGCCGTTAAAATTGCCCCTGAAAAGCTGAGCCTCGGCTCTGCCCAGACGCGGCTTGTGGCACATTTATCTTGCGTTTGTCAAGGCCAATAAGTCGAGTGATAAAACTTTGAGCTTATCACAACAACTATTCCTGGTAAACAACATTAGGCATTACCTCAACAATAATATTATTAAATGTTTACAATCAATGAAATTGAGAGCTTTATGTTGACTTTCTTAGTCTCACATATTTAAATATCAATAGTAATATTACGTTTTTACAGATTCATACAGATTCATTTATAATCTATCACTATAATCTATAATTATTTATTTCTGTTGCCAACTATCGACAGTTCCTCGCATTTCCTAGAATCTCTAGAGTAGCTTTCAAACAATTTAGACTCTATCATGCCCCCACTCGGCGTAGCTACACATATTTCATATTCCTCTAGTTTTAATAGCGCCATAAATAAAAAATAGTATTTATAATGTTAAACTAGGAGAGTTTTACACAAACAAATAGTGTTAAATCGCACTAGGGTATGCACGAGAATATATTTGAAATTTACGAACGTGTCTAGAAATGATTCAATGTAAGCTTCATGGGCTCTCAAACTGTGTAAACAAACTATAATACCTAAATTATTTAGTTTTGAGCAAAGTGATAGCGAAAGCTTAGAAAATAAATAATATAACAAAACCAATTTGAAGCCTAAATTATAGAATGTAATTAAAAGTATCGAAAAGTAATTAATATAATATATAATTAATAATTTTTAAATAATAAAAAAATAGGATAGAAATAACTCATTTCTATATAAAAATAAATCAAAATAGTTGTGTTTATTATATGAAATTATATCTATATTGCCTAATAATTATTTAATTACAACTTTTTAGTTTCTAACCCCTTATGCCAATAACTACTTTATAAGGACTAAATTGTGATTTCAGCTCATTTCAGGCGTCTCAATTATGATAGAAACCTGTTCTGTTCACTTCTTGTCATGCTTATAAAAAATGAAAATCAATTAAAAACCAGACATATCCAAAACTGAGAAAACTCATTATCGTATCATAGAAAAATGTAAAGAGAGCAACTTAGATTTGTAACATCAACAAAAGTAAATAGTTCTCAAGCAGTAGAGTTAAAATAGATAGTGATAGAGCCATTCAGACTATACGATTTTGATTATATTTGAGCAAGTGCTTAATGAGCAGTGGAAGGCTTACAGTTAGCCGTCTGGCCCATGCTTATCGACACTGAAAATTTACAATTGTACAGTTTTGTAGGCCCCTCTGCGAGGGTGACCGATCAAAGGTGACGGCAAGCATGTAGAGAGGCCGGGCTAGTCATTGAACTTGTGATAAGGTAGCCGAATAGTTACCAGAAAACCAGCCAGCCTGACTCAAGTCTTGCTTGGATCACTGACATGCGCAGAAAATCGGATGACTTATTATCAAAGTCCATGCCTGGCGAGAGTCTGGCGTTTATTGTGGGCCCTGGCCTGATAAGTGTCGGGGCCCCCAACATCGTCGTCTCGCTGACGTGGTTATTCGCACAACAGAACTTTGATACTCACGTCATTGGAAATGGTTAATTCTTGATCACGGAATACGAAATCGTTGTCGGCGCATCGCTCGGCGTTATCCTTGTTGTAATTTCTTGCCACACAAATGTCCGCAGTTTGATTCCAGCTGGAGAGCTCTTTGTTCTCGTAGCGACGGCACTTGTCCAAATCCTTGCCATTCTTTGGTATGCTGTACTCTGTCCAGGGCTCCTCGTAGCGGCTATTGGGCCCGTCGCACTCTGTAATGTTGCATCTGTTGATTTGAAGAGTTTCGTTTGAGGCTCGTCTCGCCGACCAACTGGCTAAAGCTTAACTAAAGTTCACCTGTGCATCACAGTTCCGGCCGTGAAGACGTACGTCACCGAGAACATGGCATGGAACATCATTGGCAAGCAGATCAGCAGGAAGATGAACAGCTGAAAGCGACCGAACTGCCCAATGTGCTTCAATATGGAATCGAGGGTGATGTCCTCGGGATCGGCGCCATTTGATTGGGTGACCACCTCCATTTGGGGAATGGTCGGAGGTGGCGACTCCTCGGTAGCCGGCATTGATCCCAAGTTCTGTTCACAAATTTGTGCACAATTAATGAACTATTCCGTGTTTATTTATACGCGTGTGTTTTGAACGATTTCGCTTTTTTCTTATATTTGCCAAGTTTATTTTTAAATGCGAACAACTCTTACGTTGTTCACGGCACGAAAACACGAGACACACTGCGAGCGTCGGATCACAACTACAGGGCGATCGCCCAACTGTTGAGTCAATCTATGGTGTTTCGCCCTCTCTCGCTGTGTTTCTGTCTGTGCCTCTCTCATGATCTCGACAGAGCGCCGCCTCGGGCCAATTGCTTAAGTTGGCTCTCACTAGGCCCTGTCCTGACAGATTAACTACGCGAATCTAGACACTGGCATTCTCTGCTTTGATTAGATTGCTCAATTTTATATAGATGTTAAGCCTATTTAGATTGCAATCAAAGATAAACGACTGATACACAAGCTCGATAAGCTGAAATGTCCAAGTCAATTAATCAGTTCTGAAAATACTCTATCAGTCCTATAAAGTATTTATTATGCTTTCTTTTTTTTTTTTTTTTTTTTTGAGTATTTTTGGAAAAAAAAAGTGTTAATTGTTTCTGAAATGAAATAAAAATATATTTTAATATTTGTATAATACAAATACATACATAATATAAAATACACATATAATAAACAATATATGTACTATCTTTTAATTTTTTATTTATTTTGCTGAACTGCAAACTTTAAGGTAAAAGTAAACTTTAATTGTGCAGTAATATAAATAAATAAATAATTCTTTTAAAATTCATTGCTTTGTTTATGTGTAAAATCAATTAACAAGTATTTTATTGCACTTATATATTTTGTGTAATTGTTTGTTCTTTAATTATAACTTTTTTGTATACAAAATTTGCAAAGTAGAAATAATTGTAAGCGCAAAGTTTGTTTTAAATTCATATGTTTTTCATTTATAGTAAATATGAAGCTATTTATTTGTTATGTAAATATGCATTTTACTACATTTAAATATATGTATTTCCAATTTTAATTTTTTTTTTTTGACACGACATAGACGCGGAATTTGTCATATTCAAATTGGTTTGTGATGTGAAAAATATGGTTTATAATTAGAACTTAGTAAATAATTACATAAAAAATATATATATATTTAATACACAGTTCTACATCAATCGCTCTGAAATCATTTACAGAATTTCAATAACATATGTGCTCATATTTTATACAGTGTTCACGTGCGGTCCGCGTGTTGTTTCCAAAACAAAAATGTGATCTATTTTTATCAAGCTTTTAAGAGAAATGAATATAAACTATTTGAGCATTGCAACTTTTAAGCAATTTATGAGCTCCAACTAATTGCTAATTGCACTGACACTTCCCAGAGATAATTACACGGAACCGGTTTGGAGCCGGATATATACATATTTAATTACTTTTTTATCTGCCAAGTCTTAGAATAACAATGCAATGGAAATTGGGTTTTCCTCATGGAGAGCCGCAGTTTGGGGGCTTTTTGCCTCTCCCGAATCGTTTGCGCTTCACAGTGTAGCTCGACACGTGCTTTTGGCATAGTGTACGATAGTCATGCTCGCCGCCAGCCTTATCGACCCAATCAGCTGTGTTAACAACGACTATCACATATTTCAATCAAAAATGCTAATAGTACATTATCAAATGTTATAGTAGTGCAAACTGTTTATAAATGCAAACAATGTTCCCTCTCTGCCTCTCTTTCTGTCGCACTCTTTATACATATGTGTCTAGCTCAGTGATGCCAGCTGTTCAGCTCCGAAGTAAGTTAGATTGTGGATAAAATAAAAGGCTAAAATATAGGAAAATGCTGGACTTATAGGCTAGATGAAAATAGAAGAAACATACGAAATATAGCAAATATATTTAACAATTATCAATAAAAAATCAAACATAATTATTTGGCACAGACTATGTATTTACTTAAATAATCAAAATAATTTGATTCAAAATTCTATTGCACAATAAAAACTTGCAAGCTACTTCTATTTAGTATTTCTTGTAAGTATACCACTAAAGTATTTTTTTTAAATATTCAAAGTATTTTCTCCAAGTATTTCCCCTTAGTATTTGCTCCAAGTAATTCCGCCAAGTCTTGAATGGTTTGCTGAACGATCACGCATTTCACTTCACTTTACTGCTACCAGCCCTGGGTGACTGAAGAAGTGCTGCAGCTGCAGCCCTTTATATAGGGCGACTTTCACTCGCTCTCAATTTTGAGCCCGACGACAGGTAGGAGTCGCTCCCGTCGACCTTTAAGCGACCAATGGGAACACCCTCTGCCGCTGCAAGCATTCTAGCTTCGTCTTACTTAAATATAAACACGAAAAAACACGAAATGAATTCTCTTGCATACACAAAGCTCTTCTTCGGCCACTGCTTTTGTTAGGCAAGCAGACAGACAAGGATACAGACATTCTTTGAGATGGACAGAGGGCATACAAGCAGATATATTGACAGATATATACATATGTGTGCATGATATATCAGGTACACTAAAACTAGACAATAGTTAGAGGTGAGATCTAGCCTGAAATAAGCTAGACTGGCAACACTGGTCTGCCTTGACAGCTCTCTCCCAATTTTTTCACTCTTTCTCTCTTAGCGTTTTGTTTATGAATGAAACAAAGCTTTTTTTTTTGGGGCATTTTACATACATATATTTATTGTTGTTATTTTATGAATGGCTTATGACTAGAAAAATATGAACTTGAAAACTGAATAGTAAATATGTTAGAGTTTTTTTTCGTATTCAAAAATACTGTCAAGGCCTAGCGTTCGAAATGGATATAGTTATAGGGCAATTAAATGGCTTCACATACTCGATTAACCACGTCAAGTGCCAATTCAATTATCAAATTGGCATGAAAAGTTTTTATACCATGGCGCAATTCTACAACTTTACAAGTTTTTACAGTTTTACAAAAACCGGTTCCATTTCAATTTGAATAAAATCGCGGCAGTTAAATAAAACATTTTATTGGAATTCAAATTAAATGAAATCGCTAAATGTCAACGGCAGCTGAAAACGGAAAATTCAGCAGAGTAATTATATGAGTTCTTATCAATGAGCGCGATTGCATCGACTAGTGGATACCCTGTAGCGTGATTATTAATGAAATATATATGTTTCCTTCACTGCTAATGTGGGAGTATCAATTGTCTTTATCTTAGCTTGATAAATATTACAATTTTTATATTTAAGTGCCAGAGACTCAAAGACCTATATTAGATTTAATACTTTTTATATAGATTCATACATCACTTTTACTGGATTTAATTATCATAGTTTGATCTACAATAACTAGGATAGCGGCTTTATGCCTTCGGCTATCTGTTACTCACCCTTTAGCTAAACCATAATTTCTGTAATAATTTCCATAAATTTCAATGGACTCTGGATATAGAGTATCATAATGCCAATGTTGATCCACTTTTAAAAATAAAACATCTGTTTGCATTTTGTTTTGAATATATCTAAACACATACCTTTATTTAATGAATTCAAAAATTGTGTTTAATTCTGTTTTACTTTTTGTTTTGTTTTCATGTTTCCATGTTGTTTCACACCCAATACATATATAGAAAGTATCCCCAAATATTTTCAGTGTTTGTTTTGTTTTGCTATTTACTGCTTGGTTTTTTTATAATGGTTTTTTTTGTTTTTTTTTTTTTGTTTTTTGTTGTTTTTTTTTTTCTTGTATTTGAAGTAAAAATTTGACTCAAAACACATTTAGTTCGAGAACGCAATACATTTAGCTTTGTATTTGGTTTTCTTTAAAATTTTTCATTCTGACTTGGCTAAATTTGCAATATACGTGTATGTGTGTGTGTGTGTGTGTGTATACGAGTTTGAGAGTGTGTGAGTCGGGGGTGTATATAGATGATGATATGATGATATATGCAGTGTAACTGACTTAAATATGATACGTAGTTGAATCTCAACGAAATGAACTTGCAGTATATATATTTTCCTTTTATATATATTATGATGTTTATATGATTAGTGAATAAATACATATGCACTGTGTTAGATTACTCATTATAATAATAATAATAATCGGTTTAAATAATTCACTTAATAGCTTGAACATTTCCTTCTTAACTTTTCTTTTGTTTTTCTTCTTCTTCTCCTGCTTTACTATTTTCTCTTTTTTAAATCTATAAATTCAATTATAATGCACTTAACTTTGTGTCTCGCTTCTTATTGCACATGTATGTAAGTGTGAGTGTGGGTGTGTAAAACGATGTTTATGTGTGTGTGTGTGTGTATGCTTAATGATTTGTATTTGTCCATATACATATATAGTATATATATATATGTAATATGTAAATATTTTTAAATATAATTTTTTATAGAATTGTAAATATATTGTAAATAATGTTTGCTTTTTTTGTATTATTTTCATTTTTTTGTTTGGTTTCTTTCTTTTTACCATTTTGTTGTACATTTCGCAATGATTTTTCTTTTAATAATATCGCTTTTTTACCGTTGCTTATTGTATGTAGTTTTTAATTATTATTTATTTAAATGGTTGTTTAAACTTTGTTGTGATTATGTTTTGTTTTTGGTATGTTGAGTGCTTAACAAATATGTTTGTAAGTATTCTTGTATGTGAGTGTGTGTGTGTGTTTGTGTGTGTGTGTGTGTGTGTGAGACCTCTTCTATGGACAGCTCAGCAGCAGCTTTCATTAACACTTTGCCAAGCCAATCAATTCACAACTGATTATAACTACATTTAACAGCTTTTTATCAGCATGCTGTGCCCATAGATCGGCTCAAGCTAGTCCTGTATCTATGCAATGCATTTTTGTTTTGTCTTTGGTTTAATCTGGTTTTACTTTTGTATAGACTGACTGATAGTACACATTTACGAAGTATTTTTAATTATTATTGTTGTACACAGATAAACAAGTTTTAATTTAATAATCATTCTCTCGAATACCATTCTTTCATTCATTATCGTAGTCTAAAAATGTAT